CATTCCTGACTTTGATTCAATGAAATGTACTTGATTTATTATAGTTACTCCCAGTTTGTGATTCTACATATAATGTACAAAATAGTTTTACGCCAATTTTTGTAATTCTTTAAAACTTTTGTGTCAAAATTTTTCCACTTCCTTCACTGTTTAAACTATGGATTGGCTGTATCTAATTCTATATTATTCAATTAAATTATAATGCTCAAAGATTAAAATAAATTATAAGTAATTAAGAATTTTTAATAATTATGAGTATAATTTAGCGTCATTATTATTAATATAATTGCCAACTTCCTTTGATATATATTTGCACAATTCTCTTAATTCAAGTTCAAACCTCACATTTTTATCGTCTATCAAGGCTTCTGAGCGCGAGCACAGACGTTTCCTGGTACCCTTACAAAATATTATTCTACTCTCTGACTAATTGCACGAGTCCTTTTCACATGAACAGCGCAACCAAACGTGCAAATTGCCGCCACCGAATTAGCATCCTAGAGCAAACCGAGATTACTCATTTTTCTCTCGCGGCCTCCACGGCCCTCATGCGGGCACTGATAATCGAACGTGCCAATCGAGAAAGGACTTAATTCTCACGGATTTTTTCCGGTGAAAAAAAATGATCACGGCTGGCGAGCCGGAGACCACTGGAGGAATAAATTGAGGCACGGCTTCTACAGTTAAAATAAAAGAAAGATTTTCATCGAGTCACGACCGACGAGAGAGAAGCAGCAGCACTTCTCTAGAAAAATTGTGCTTCTCTCCCAAGGAGCGCGTAAAATACTTTTCAGATCAGAGATCGAGCAAAATTCCTCTAATGGCTGCCAGATGCGTATAAAAGTATAAACCAAACCTTTCCTCTCCTCTCAGCGGCCTTTAATTTCACGTGCAAAAAAATCTGGAGAACACGCCTTGCAAAAATCCTCAAGCTAAAAAAAAAATCAGAATTTATTCAAATGATATGGTGGGAGAAGTGGTGGTCGGTTGAGATATAAAAGTAGCTTATGTGCGGCCAGATTATTTTTTATTTCTCGATTGCTGGATTATATTTCCTGTTGATTTAGATTTAAAGTTTCCTTATAAATGGAAATGGATTTGCATCTGCCCTGCTCTTGTCAAACAGACATCTCAGACATCAGAATTGCACAACATCGTTATTAGAAGAACCTGTTCTCTGTTTTTATTTAATGATTATGCGAGCAGGGTTTTATGATTAAATTACACAAGCACGATTAGTATAGTCTAGCGAATAAGCTATCAATCTGCTCTGCAGGGAACTTGTATGTATTCTATATAAACGATTTGCAATATAAAAAGAGTGGTGGCTAGAATTCATAATATAAGAAAATCTCCATTTAATGGAGTTTTTTTACTGGACCTTGTTGCAACTTTTACATTATTTTTGATATGAGAGTAATATTCAAAATTAATAAATTACCATAAAACCTCAGTGGAGCGAATGGAGCCTGATACTTATTAATAAAATCTAAAATCACATTGGCAGTTTTTTTTTTATTTTGACCCACTTTTGGCATGGGTCAACCGATTTGGATAAAATTTGGCAGGCCGATTCCTTTAGGTGTATAGAGATAGAGTTTCAAAGGATTTTGAAAAATTCTCAAAATTGCCTACTTTACAGGGGCTCAAAGTTAGGCATTTTTTTAAAAGGAGATTTTGAAAATCGAAAATATCTCGGTTTCTGTTAGAGATACGCTAAAAAGTATAATAACCAAAGTTGTTGGGATTGAGACGACCTACAACTTTACTATGGTGCCCAAAGTCGTAAGTCAAAGTTCAAGGTCACTTTTACCATAATTAATTTTTAAATTTGCTGCTGAAGTGCCTAGTACATCGATATTTTTTGTTTCAAAATAGCCAAAAGTTGCGTATGTTAGTAGGGAAGAACATATTAAAAATTGGTGATAGTATTTGTTTTAGTTAAAAAGTTATTCAGAGTCAAAGTGTGAAAAACGTGGTTTTTCGAGCTTTTTATGTAAAAATTTATTTTCAACGTCAATAACTTTTTTTCTGTTAGAGTTAGGACATAATGTATAATGACAAAAAATGATCTCATTGACAAGTTCTTTTAGATAATGTATCGCACGTGGTGACCAGGTCACAAAAGTTCATTGACCCCGGTGACCTGTGACCTTTTCAAAAAATAAATAGTAGTGTGACACAAATTTTGAAAGAGGACATCAGCAGAAACATTTTGGTAACTGGATTTTTGTTTTAAATCCAATACAATTGAAGTTATCACCGATGGAAGGAAATTTTTCACAATAAATGCTCGAAAAACCACGTTTTTCACACTTTGACTCTGAATAACTTTTTAACTAAAAAAAATACTATCACCAATTTTTAATATGTTCTTCCCTACTAACATACGCAACTTTTGGCTATTTTGAAACTAAAAATATCGATGTACTAGGCACTTCAGCAGCAAATTTAAAAATTAATTATGGTAAAAGTGACCTTGAACTTTGACTTACGACTTTGGGCACCATAGTAAAGTTGTAGGTCGTCTCAATCCCAACAACTTTGGTTATTATACTTTTTAGCGTATCTCTAACAGAAACCGAGATATTTTCGATTTTCAAAATCTCCTTTTAAAAAAATGCCTAACTTTGAGCCCCTGTAAAGTAGGCAATTTTGAGAATTTTTCAAAATCCTTTGAAACTTTATCTCTATACACCTAAAGGAATCGGCCTGCCAAATTTTATCCAAATTGGTTGACCCATGCCAAAAGTGGGTCAAAATAAAAAAAAAACTGCCCATTATATTTTGCATAACTTGCTTTAAAACTTTATTATTTATTTTTTTATTTTTGTATATATATATATATCTTTTCAATTTTGATTTGAAATAGCAATAATTCTACTTGCTAATTTAGTAAAAATTATTTATCATTTCAAAAATTAAATTTAAATTTTTTAATGTTCTGAATAATAAAATGAAATTAATATCATTTTAAAAATAAAATAAAAATACATATTAAATTAAAAAGAATAACATTATTTATATTGTAATAAACACATCATTAAAAACATTGCTGTATTTTAAATTTTTTTAATTTAAATGTTTTTACAGTGACAAATTGAAATTAAATTGATACAATAATAGGCATTTATAAACCATTTGAATTATTTGAATATAATATGACATATTATGTTTACGGAGTTAGCTATTAGTTATGTTATATATCATCCTGAGAGATGCAATGATTAATTGCATTACTAATTTCAGTTCGTTTTTAAATTTGTATACATACATACCATACATAAAGCAGGTATAATTGATTTTAAATCATACACATGCATTAAATGTTTTACCGGAATATTTAAATCACTTAATATCCGATTTTTATTTAAACATTTAAAGCTCATATTTCTGTAAACCAAAGTGCAGCGCGAGTTTAAGGAGTGGGTCACAGACCACAGACTTGCCACCTGAGGTCATAGACCGGCCTGCGTGATAAGGAGTGCGCCGTGGCTGGTGCTCGGCGACGGGAGCGAGTGATTTTGGAAGGCAACTGCAGGGGTCTCCTGAGTCGAGCCGGCACCTCCTGAGAGGTGAGCAGATAGGAGACCTTTCATACCTTACAAGTCAGCTCTTGAGCAACCTGTGTGCAGTGTTTCTCCAGTATTTTCCATGTAGTGTTTTGGAAGAGAAGAGTTTACCGATGATACACCTCCGCACCAGTGTTTTTTGCCTTTCCTTATAATACGTGGTTGGTCATTAATTTCGCACTCAGTGAGCACATTTTTATTTCGTTTCGCTTGGGCTGAGTCATCATTAATCGTCTCCCTATATATTATCAGCATCAGCAGCTATACATTTGTTCAAACTTTTTTATTGCTGACTGAAAGCTCGAGTAACGTTCTGCTTTATTTTTATTGTACTTTAAATATTGACATTTATTCAAAATACAATATAATTATAGATTTTATTTGTTTAACTTTTTAATTTCCAAAAATTAAATTCTAATTTTAACGCTTTACTAACAAGTACAAAACGTGCAAACTAATTAGCCTTTAGCTATCGTCGAATTAATTTTTCCCTCCAAAAAAGAGAAAATTCACGATTTTTGCCCAGGCGGTGAAATGCTCTTCGTGCTCGCGGATTGCGCAACGTTCATCAAAATTTAATGACATCTCGTGTGTCCAGCAGGCGAAAAAGTGAGAAAAAGCGAGTGTGTCGTGCTTTGGATTATGCCCAGTGACCCAGAAAGCGGCAATAAATAATTAGCCAACTCGCGACTGTGCAAAGAATCGCGTGCTCTCGGCTGCTGTGATACAAGCTGGCAATATAATAGTGTAATTCGCTCACTCTGCACGGCGGCCAATTATTAAACATGACCTCCTGGCCGCCTAGGGCCCGCAGCATGGAGTGCTGCCCATTTGCGTTCTCAAAGGTTTAAAATTGATCATTTTTTTTTTAGGATTTTAATTTAGTGGTAGATATTATTTAAAATAAATTAATATATATTTTTTAACTTTATAAATTTCTATTACGTTTGTTTATTCATTTATCTACAAATTAAAGCATAAAACATCAAAGAAATCATTTTTTTTATAATAAAATCTTGCTATAAAATTTAAATTTTGTTTCTTAGTTACAATGATAATAATGAATTTAGTGCGCTAAACGACTTTAAGGAATAATAAATTAAGTATTTATTGAGTATTTACTGATATGAATAATAAATCCTGTAAATTTTAACTACAATTAAGTTGCACTCACAATATCAAGTTTACAGCATATAATTTACCATTTAATTTAGAAACTAAAATGCCTTTTAACTCGCAAGCAGGTTAAACGTGTTCAACAACATTTATTTTCCTGTTCGTCTCTTTCATTTCCTTCCTCCAAAGTGCGTCATCTTCTTCCCATAATACTTCTCGTTTCAATTAGCTCGACAACTTTAGTTTCTTTTTCTTTAAAAACTCTCGTTTGTTTTTAAAACTAAACACGCGTGTGTTTCCTTTTCGTTGCAGGCGATGCGGTGGTTCCGTCGAGGTTCAGAGGCCACCAACTCACCACGCCTGCTGAGCCTGAGCCCCCTGAGGGGCACCCAGGACCCCGCCCTTGAAGACCCTGCCAAGAGTCAGCCAGGTGAGACGACGACACTTCTCGCATTAATTGCGTGCGCGCTTATCTCGAGATCCGTCACACAAGTTTTATATTTGCATTGCCGCCTCTCCTAACTAAAATAAAATAATGCTGTGTGTTCGTCTAGACACGCTCCTCTGCGCGAAACGAGCCATGCGATAAAAAAAACTCACTCTTTTAATAGACGTTCGTATAATTTATGATGATGAAAACACTTTTGTTTTTAGTCGGTTATATTCTCAGATTTGAGCTCATTGTTTACCGGGGATTTTTCTCATCCATCACTTTTGCGCGCACACGTGTGTATTATTTCCATATTTAAAGGTATTCAATTTCGTAGCCAAGGCTGGAACTGCCAAGTTTCCTTTTCTTTAAGGGTTCTATGAATAAATGATGACGGTTTGAATGGATTTCAAATTTACTCCACCCAAGCTCTCAAGTGGAAAATTATTCAAAGGGATTTAAAAAAAAAATAATGGTATTAAGCTAACTATAAAGGAACACCTGCACTCTTTTATTTAATGATCAACCAGCATAATTATTAGAGATTCTAAAACTATTGGCGAAACCTGCATTGTTGATCCATTAAGTATACGTTTTTATTTAAATATAATAATTTATTAAGAGGGAATTAAAGAAAAACAAACTAGAATGCTATTAAAATGGACTATTCTTTATCAGATTTTTATTTCTTATTCACATGCTTTTGTTTGACGTCTTGTTTGCTGTCTTTAAAATTTTAATTCATTGTAATTTTATTTTATTTTATCGATTAGTTAGATTTTAACGATTAGTTTGATTTTCTTCTTCTATTAAATTCATATATGTCGATCAATTAACTATCAAAATGATGACTGTATGTTAAAATGATTTTTATTATTAATTTGAATTCTTTACTTATTATAAAAGCTGACGCACCTATGTGTGATGTTCCTTTCAATTTCCTTCAGGGCTGCATTGAAATAATTTTAATGAGCGATGACAGCCGCCCTTTTCATACCTGAATAGCGATTGGAGAATTTTTCTCCGAACAAATTCCGAGGGACTTTAATGCATGATCGCGCGCGAGACACAATATAAAATAACAGCCGAAGTGTTCGGAATCGAGAGAAAAGCACCTGCGCGCGTTCAATGATTTTACTCGCCTCTCCATATGCTGCTCGCGAGGCGGATGACTTTAAAAATAATCAGCCGTAATTGCACTCGAGTTCCGCGATGACTCATCCGATACAAAAGCGTGCGTGTTAAAATTTACATTCGGAAGTAGAAGCTGACGAATGAAACTTAAAATAGAAATTAGGTCTCTGGGTATGCATTTAAAATTGGCAACAGATATGAAATCATTATGAAATCATTTATAGGTGGGTTGAGTAAGAAAAGCGGCCGGTTATCATTTTTGATGAAGTGTTTTTGCGGTTAATTTCATTCGGATGATGACACCTCTAAAATTGTGCTGCCTTATCCGGCGTTAATCGTATACCTCGCGTATAATTATGCGTTCACTCTCATTTCTGAGGTTTGGAGAAATGTGCTGAAGGCGGAGAAAGAGCTGGCCATGTGGTAGAGGAGATTCTTTTTGACTTACGCGGCGCTTTTTAAATAATAATAAGCCGAAATTAGTGGTCTCTCTGACAAAACACCTTTTAGGCCGCAGGTGTAATTATACTGTTTTTCTCGACAGCGAGCTGTTTTTTCTTTGTTCACTTGGAATTTATTTATGCACTCACGAGGAAAATAAAAGAAAAGAGGCTTTGACAGGTAGTAATTTTGTGTTAGTCAATACTGCTTAAAATTATAAACGACTACAAATCTCTGGGAGATATAAAGTAAATGCTTTATCGTGAGTTATACTTCTTTTTTAAATTTAATTTAATTTACTAATTTCAAGTTATTTTGATTTTTGAGCCCACCTGAAAAGGGCTATTGAAAACTGATTCCCATGTTTACGCACAATGTCAGGCGTTGCTACGCCAATTTTATTTGTCTTCTTGTGTGTGCCTTTGTTTGTTGCGTAATTTCCACAAAAAGATCTCGTTACCGTCGAGCGACCCCAGACAAAAAAGCAATAGACCGAGAGTTGCTTTATTCGGCTCCACGCCCTGCGTTTGGTAAATAGCTGTGCCGCATTCCTTGGCCGTTTGTTTATTCAGGGCTAGCCCTGACTCTCGCTATCGCAGCCAGGGTAAATGAACAAGGTGCCTGCAGTACCTGACACGCTGCTGACGGTCGCATGAATAGAATGCTTAATGGACCAACTTTTATTTATTATCTCGGCGGCTCATTCAACTCTCTTGAAAAATTTGTCTCGGTACCATAAAAATTCCAGGCATTTCCCAACTGTACGATCTCCCCTTTGAGATGCCATCGGTTGATAAGAAAAGCACCACACTGAAAAACTCTTTTACCTTTTAAAGGTTGCAACAACCTCCAAAAAAAGGTTCCAGGGGTGTCAATAATTTGTAAACGTTAAAACAACCTTCTTGCAAGGTACGAGGCATTTTAACCATCAAAGACGGTTGTTTCAACCTTCATCGGAACGTTTGTTACAACCCTCAAGCGAAGGTAAAGGATCGCTCGGCGGCTGCAACCGCGTACCTTTTCAGAAGTTTCGCCGTACCTTTTTATAAAGGTAAAATTAACCTAGTTAATAAAGGTTGTTCCAACTTCTACTTGGTGGTTGTATTTTATTTTTCAGTTTCTTTTTTTTACCGTCCAAATAGGTTACTTTAACTTCTTATTGTAGGTTCGGTTGATGAAAAATAGTACAAGTCCATTTTAAAAATAATCAGGTTTTTATTGGTATCACAAACTCCAAAAGACAAAAAGAAATCAAAACAATTAAAAAAAAGATTAACAGTGGGCTGTACTTATCTAGTGTTGTCACTGCTGATCGATGACTCTCGGTAGCTTTCTTCTGCTGTTTGTGAAAATACGGCTGGATTTGCACTACTCAAACCAAACGCACTAAACTTCACACAATTTAATGTTTTAGCTCTAACTTCAGTTTCCAAGAATTTCTCAATGTTGATCGGAGTTTTCAAACAAATTTATTGCCTGTAAACAAAAGATGAAATTTACATTATATTCTTTTCCAAATTTCATTCACCATAATATAAAAAATATATGATTACATTTAGTCAAAAATTTTAAATGATAATTACCTTTCATTGGAAAATTAGCGTCGTCCGCAAACTACCCAGGATCTTTGATATATAGAAGTGAACGTTTTGGTCCGCATGCAAATATCTGAAAATAAAATAATATTTCTTTAAGAACGGGCATTTTGCTCTTTCGATAAAATATTTCACCTTTAATTTTCCTGTACTCCATTTTTCCACGCGCAGTTTAAGCTGCCATATAATTATCAATCCACAGTTCCAATGCGACAATCGAGGTATGAAATTTTGTATAGCTCACATTAGCCTGGAATAAAAGAATAATTTTCTATAATTAGCTATCAAGCTGTATTTGCGTTGTTTGCTTGGGATGAGAAACTAGTCCTCACCCAGGACCAAAGTTGCATATTTATATGCGAAAAATACTTACTGCATCTTTTTGAGGGCAAATCACTCTGATTCTTCAAGAATATCTGCCATTTTCTTCAAAATCTTAAAATTTTTCCAAGACCGATGTGATCACAACAAGAAGAGACGCAAACTAACATGGGCGCTCAAAAGAGAGACGCGCTTCGAGTGCATTTTTAACTTTCTGTAGAGTTAGATTTACTTTCCATGAAGGTAAGCGCAACCTTTGCACGACGTTAAACGCCAACGGACGCATAGTTTTGGCGCAATTTCCAACCTTCAGCGATGGTTGGAAGCTTATTTGAAATTAAATGCCGCGTGTTAGAAAGAAAAAAATGAAAATTTGAAGTTTTTTGCTCTTCATGGACATTTTCAGAGCTTTCATTGTAAGCTTTACATTAAAAAAAATATTTTGAAATAGTTTTTCCTATTATTGACTTGGGATTCATATCCAAAAGTGTTAAATTGTGAGGACCAAAAAATACCAACATAATATTTTTGCTTCACCAAAAAACGGAGAAGTTTCTGATAGAGTAGCTCTTACATATTTAGCTAAAAAATATAATTTTTGCCAAAACTTGCAAAATTCATTAAAAATTTATACTGGCCGCTATATTTATGCAAAATTATTAAAATTTAGTGCTCTATTAAAATATTAATTAATTAAAACCTGTGTTAAGTATTAGAAGTTTCAATTAAAATTGAGATTTGAATGAGTCGTGTGCAGAATTTAGAGTTTTAGACATTTAAGTTTTCTTTGTTTATTAAAAGTAATATGTATTTTTCAAACTCAGCTCTTAAAATTATATATTTTTATAACTATTTAATATTATTTATCGCAACCTTTGCGCAGAGGTCACGTCAACCTTTTTGCGAAGGTACCAAGTGAGTTGGAGTATACTGTTACCTTTGTGTCTAGGTTCATTCTACCTTCATAGGCGGTTAAAAGTCTTTTACCAACTAACAAAGGTTAAATTCACCTTCTGAAACTCGTTGGCTGCTAGGTCTGCAACCTTTAAGAACGGTTGATTTTACCTTTTAAGCGTCTAACTGAACAAGAAGGTTAGAATAACCGTTGCGCCGGTAAAAGTAACACTTTTTGAAGGTTCCTTTAACTTTTCTGGAGGTTAAAATCGCTTCAACCTTTTTTGAAGGTAGTTCAGTTTTTCAGTGCAGAGAATATCAATTTTCATTTTTAAAAATGCTTCCAACGCGAACTAGGAAAAGGAAAAGATCGTGATTCCATTGTAAAATTTAAACAATAAAAATATGAATCGAAAGTCAACTTTCCTAAAAAGGCTCCAAATGGACAAAGATCGATTGTCCCCCGTGAGTCACTACGCGTTAGAGAGATTTATATTGTAATTTTTTTTTCTGCGTGACCTTCATTGGAAACACAAAACTCGCAGCTTTTTTTATTGAAAAGGTGTGTATTGCCATTCTTGGAGGTTGTCATTACAAAAATTGTGGGGTCCTGAGGCGACACACTCGTGGAAATGAGAAGTGACTGTGTGTTATAGTTCCTGTCAATTTACACACCACAAGAAGTGTCATAATCTTTTGGTTTACATGTGCCTGGCGCCTTGTGATTGACGCCTTGCTATATTTTGCACGGACTTTAGCAATATTCTCCTGAAAGATATAATAGAGAAAGCAGTTTGAGTAGTTAAAGTTATTTGCATAACCCAGTTTACGCAATAGATTCTAAAAGAGGACAAGTTAAATTTAAATATGAATATGCTGCTGTTTTTGGGTGTGAAAATTACTAGCAGTTCAATTAAAATTTTAATTGTACAAACTTCTTCAATCTTCCAGAGATTTTTGATGATAATAATAATAAATTTATCCTTAAGGATTAATTTAGTGTCCCCATTATAAGTCTCAATTTCTCCCTTTTGTTATTTCCATGTACACACTTTGAGCAAACCCAAGCTTCCATTGACGTCGAGCATGTACGCCTTAAAATGCTAATGAGCACCAACATTGACCTGGAATAGCAATAATTACCCGGCGTGTAGAAAAATCACTCCTTATATATTATTTCTTCCACGTTCGGCGAAGGAATGCACGCGAGGCGCGCGCAATAATTATAATATATCGTTTGTGTTGTTGTTTTGTTCATGTGTGGGAATGCAAAAGAAAAGGATTCAAAGGCTAATTTGAATAATTCCGAGTACCGTTCAGCCTCCACGCATAGACCTGTAATATTGCTGTGGAGCCGAGCTCGTAAAATACACCAGTCTATTATATGAATGCGTACATGGATGACTAACTGTTCATCAGCAGCTCCAAGGAAGATGAGTTGTTAAATGTCTCACAACCGTTTGGGCAGCTCGAATTAATAGTTGTTCTCTCTCGACTGCAAAAATGTTAAATATTATTATTATTTTTATAATCCAACCAGAGAAGATAAAGTTCATTATTTCAAACTTCAAAAGTGCCGAAAAAAATTATCATTGCATGTTTTATAATTTTTAAAACATGCTCCTACTTCTTGATGGTAGTAATTAGCGAACGGAAATTAAATTTAATATTTCATTGTGTGTGAGAATGAAATTTTGCGACGGGAAATTTTTACGATTTTCTTAACTGTAGGGAACTCTTGGCATGAAAATTGTTTTAAAAATCAACACTCAAGACGGTGGCGTGGGAACAAATTTCATTACTTTAATTCACTGCTTCCGAGACGCGTCAACCGCGAAGAAAGTGATATTGACCACATTCTCATCGAATTGCTGAAGTTTGATTGCTTCAGCGGCTTTCATTCAATCTTTATTTGTCTTCCCAGAAGCTAAACGTCTTTGCAAAATTCTCTCAAGTCATTCACAAACCGACTTGAAATCGGTAGGATGCTGAGAGAAACAGATCGATCAAAAGCCGTTCTTTTAGGATGAATTGCGGTTTTTGGACCACCATTACTTTTTACGGTCTCGAGTCTTTATTTATTTAGTTATTTATCAAAACGTGAATCATTTCATCGAATTATGTTTGAATTCGGTTCTAGATCAGCAGATTAAAGAACAGGAAATAAATAACTGAGTTAAATATCAATTATTTCAATAGTTCATATTTATTTTTGCATTTTAATTTATATTATTTTACTCATTAGCTTGGTCATAATTATTTTATTTTTAAAGGTTATACGCCGAGCAACTTCACTAATAGAAAGCGAAAATTTGTCTCTACATCGATACTTCCATCTACCACACATTATTTGTATTTTAATATTTCGACTACACTCAACTCTCCAATAAAATTTATAAACTATTAGAACTATTACATTAATAAAATTAATAAATGTTAAATATTTTTAAATATTGCCAATTTTTTTAAACCAAACAAAATCAGTAATTGAATAAAATTAATAAAAGAATATTTAAAAAATAATAAATATAATTTGGTTAGCAACTAAATTGCACATTAAGTCAGCAATGTTAATGTAGCAAATTAATACTATCGAAAACAGCACCGACATATGTATATAAAAACGAGAAACAAAGTTTCAAATGGAAAGGTGAATAATCAAAGGGGCTACTGCGACTACGTTTCAAAAATCTAGATTCATGTAATGAATTTTTCATTAAAAATTGGAATTAATTTTTTTCCCAATTAATTATTTACTTACACTAATTTTTTTGGATTCAATTTTTAATTTTTCATTTTGGTTTACAGCGGAGTTTTCTCCGTCGGCATGGCGCCGACCGGAAGTGGTGGTGTCGCGCGAGCGTCCGCACACAATCGGACGCTACTGGAGCCCGAACCGGCGCCCAAGAGTCGTCGCCACTGAGAAGCGCAACCCGCTCCTGGAGCGTGTCAAAAGCACCCGACTGTCCTGCTTTTCGTCAACCGACTTGTGTCCCGAGTGCCTGGACGAGCCGAAAATCGCCACCGAGACCGAACAAGTGGACTTGTGTCTCTCGGCACGGCTGAGGGCCATGTCGGATAAATGTCTGCGCGGCGGCGGACAGATGTCCCGACGACTGCTGGCCCGTTTGCGAAACACCGAAGGCAAACGATCCAAACTGAGGAGTTTCTCGTATGGGGTGCTGCCTGGAACTGCTACAGGTGCAGACCTGGAGGACGGCGACGACGACAAACTGGACATCAGAAGGTGGCCAGACTGTCGGCAGTGCGTTGATGAGCACCGAGGACGAAGGGCTGTTAGTGCAGACAGAGCCCAGGTAAGTCAGGTATACATTAAAGCAGAAGATATATTTATACAAGGCATAAAAATAAAAATACGCTGTTATTTAAATGCTTAGGGGAAATTTTAAATAGGGAATTTTTTTCAGACTTGAATGATATCTTCAGTATAAAACTTAAATACAATAAAATCCTTTTAATTTAATAATACTGTATTTCATAAAATGAACTAAAAGGTTACTAGAAACTAATTATTTTAATCCTTTTAATCATTAAAAATTACAAAGAGTTTTACAATAATTTTTATGTTCACAAAATAAATAAAATTGTAATTTTTACAGTAAAATCAACACTTTTGCTTCACAAGAAAAATGATACAAATTTGTAAAATATTTTAGGAAAAATATTTTGTATACCTCATTATAAATAATATATGGTGTCTGTTTTCAAATATGAAGTGAAAAATAAATATATTTTTCTTGATTCCTGCAGGCGTGGGACGACGAACTGATAGACCTTAGACGACCCACTGAAACCACCTCAGCGCCACCTCCACCACCTCGAGCAGAAGGTCGTTGGGAGGTGCACGTAGTGCGTCTGGAGCGTCGAGGGGATGAAGAACTAGGAGTGTACATTGCCAAGCGGCGCCGCGGCGCCGCGTGGGGCTTCTTGGTGGCGCACGTGGCGCCGCGCAGTCTGGCTGAAAACGCCGGATTGCGAATAGGAGACGAGGTGGTCAATGTGAACGGCCGGCGGCTGCGCGGGTTGGACGTGGCCGAGGCCAGGGACGCCCTCCGCTGCAGCCCAAGGGTTGTTGACCTCGTGGTGGCGAGGCAAGCCGCTGTGGCCAAGGGCGGCGCCGACGAGACGAGCGTGGACTACGAAAACCTGGGCAGCGACTCTGGAGTGGAAAGTGCGACGCCGAGAAAGTCGCGGCGCTTCCAGAAGAAGAGGCTCAGCGTTGCGCCACCGGAGGAGACGGCGGCATTTTGCACCCTACCCAGAAGACCCCGCTCCACCCTTTGTTCGTACCTGACCGTTGTGTTTGAGAAAGGGCCGGGCAAGAAGGGTCTTGGCTTCACCATAGTTGGCGGACGAGACTCGCCGAGAGGGGCGCTAGGCATTTTCGTCAAGAGCATTCTTCCAACCGGACAGGCCATTGAAGACGGCCGACTTAGAGAAGGTTGATAGGATTTTTTTTTTAAATCTAAACTTTTAACATTTTCTAAAAAATAATTATATTTCTTTGATGTTGTATGGAATAATTTTCAATTATTTTGTTTTATTAAATTTTTTTATATTTAAATATCCAAATAAAAATTTAATTATTTATTATTTACTTCCAACTCCACTAATTTAAAATTTTGTCTTTCAAGGTGATGAAATTCTGGCTGTTAATGGAGAGCCGTGTCATGAGTTGGAACACTCGGAGGCAGTAGCTCTTTTCAAAAGTATCAAATCAGGTCCAGTCGCCCTGCACATTAGCAGAAGAACCAAACAGTGAGTGTCTCTCTATGAAAGATATTTTCTTCCAAACTGATTCAATATTATTTATACACGCTCTCTAACGTTAATTTTTATTTTTAGGAGTGCTACTATGAGGGCGAAATCATGCACTGATCTGTTATCAGAAGAGTAAAGTATCCTCTATTCATAGTCAAATTATATGCTCAAAAGCTTTAAAACTGTAAAATATAATTATGTGTATTTGAATAAATTTTGTAATTTAACTGTGAAAAGTAGCGTGCACGTTTTAATAATTAAAAACCTTGAATTTTTAATTAATTAATTTTTATCAAGCTAAATTTTTACCTCAAATTATGCTTTGGAATAGCAGACTTCTAGATTTATGATAACTTGATGATATTGATTATAAGTTCATTTCCCCACGTTATGCATGCAGATACAGTGATCAAAGTAAAAAATTATGCATTTGAAAACCATGTGTACGAATTATCAAAAGCTAACTTCATAAAACATCTAATTACGTAATTTGAATTTAATGTTTTCTAGGAAAGTACACAATGGATCCAATTTATATGGTATAACAACTAATCGATTGCTGGTGAGTTGAATCAAGTTTTCATATTTTATCAAATCGATTTTCTCAATTCTTTTTATTATTACATATTATAGTAATTGTTTGCACATGTCATCGCACAAACACAAGAGAAAGCTATTACCTAATGGTAAGTGGGAGGATCGATGGAGAGAGGTAAAATTAAATTTCATGCCCTCAAAAGACACTTTGTGAAATGTATTTGAAGGCGGCACGTGGCTTGGTCTGCTGCCTAGTTGTCTGTGGCATTTGTCCACCTACAGCCCTCTTTACCCGTCTGCCCAAATGGGTGGACGGCTTAAATGTGGTCGTTCATCTAGCTTGGTCACCACTTACGCGTGGTTCGAGCTCTCGCAACCAACAGCCATTCCTGAATTCCAGCATTTGACAAGTGTTAATGTAAAAATTTGGCAGCCAATTTTCTGCTAGTTTTTTCCAGTTTTATAATTTTTTAAAAGTTTTTATTACTTTTTAATTATTTAAATCTTTTTAAATTTTTGTTAGTGAAATGATAATAATTAACAATAATTCTTAATATTATATTAGGGAGCACTCTACGCTGCCCGGATTTGTCTGGTGGGCCACCAAATCATCTGTCTTTTGGCTTCACAGGAACTTCGACGCACCATCCCTGATCTCCTTCCCCGTCTTCAATTACGTTCATTTGTGCCCTTCACACCAACAGTACTTTACTTAGGCGTTTTAATAATGTACTCTTGCATATGGCGGAATCCATTTAGCTCTTTTGAAAACTTGCCGCTGATATTCTTTTACATCTCGCTGAGCGGCTGCATCGCATTTGTGGGCTTGCAGACAGTTTCAATTGAAGCCTTTCGCTATAAGGTATTAAGTATTATTTTTTTTAAGAAGAAAAATTAAAAAAAAACCAACAGTTGAAAGCTATGAACGATTTACTGGAGTGCCATCCCAAAAGGCAAATCGATCTTGAGCACATGCTGGCCCGAGTGGCCAAACACAGGGTGCAGTTTAATTCGCTTATTGACGATGTCAACCGTGGCCTGGGACCGATATTAGCGACCACAGTTATAGTGCTCTGCATTCGACTTTCATTTGGCATCTTCTCGAATTTCGCAATGTCTACTCTGATAATTAACAAGGACGCAGTGCCAAACTTCACTTCTCTTTTTCTAGTTTATCCTCGGACAGCTGTTAAAATCATTGTTCTTGTCTCCCTCGCACACGCTGGAGAACGATTCAATAGCGAGGTTTGAAAAAAAATTCATTTAAAAAGAACATATGCAATTAGTTGCTTTACTATCAGATTGCAAGAAGTTCACATTTGCTGGATTGTATATCAACCTCAAATCAATTTTATCCACCGATTGTATTTTACCAGGTTCCATCATGAAAATTCTTAATTTAAATAAAAAAAGAGAGAAATTAAAATTATATTATGTTCTAGATTGAGAAGTGTAGAAGCGTTATTGAAAAGCGCAATGTGGCTTTTACTGGATGGGGAATAATGAACATAGATCACACTCTACTCGTCGTGGTATGATAAAATGAAAATGTTTTATTTTGAATTTAAAATGAATTAACATAAATGTTAGATGTTTAATTTCATATTTAGTATGGTGATGGTACTCATGCAATTCCAAATGAGTGAGACGGTTTCGTCGACTGAATCTCATGGAGGGAAATTATAAGAAATACAACATTAAGAATTAAACACTGTGAAATGTTTTAAACACTGTCCGATGTACTCATGGTTGGCTACGATACAATCCTCATTTCCCACGCAACTTTTGCGCCGATCGTGGCTTGAATTTGAGCATCTAGCGAGTAAAATTTCAACCGCAAGACACTTGTAGTTCTGGAGTGAGTCGAGTAGGGAGCGCATTTTCCTGCTTAGCTCATTTCTATGTTGATTATTCTCCTTCTATTGTTCTTGTATTAGTTCTCGTATTGTTTGTAACTCGTTTTAATATTAAAAATCATTTAATTGAAATAGACTGAGTTGATTTATGATCCAGATCCATAATTTACATTGAGTATTCAAAATATAATAAAATATTTCGTTCAATCAATATTAAACTAATTGACTGAGTGGTTATTGACTGCATTTATTTTTTAACCATTGGCTTTAATTTAAAATTAACGATCAAATATTTTAAATTATATGAAAATCAATAGTGCGATAAAAATCCTCCAACTTAATGCAGCCTTGAATACAAATTTTTTTTATTATTATTGGATTAAGAAAGATTAAGTAAGTAAGATTGAATTGGAAAACAGCAGTTAAAAATTATTTCAAAAGAAAAGAAAGTGAAATCAAGGGGTACGCGTAATAAAAACAACCGGTGCGATGAGCGTTATCATGAAAAAATTCTGTACATCTTTCGCTCTCTCATTCCCATAAAATCAGAAGCTGAAACAATTGCGCCTGTTCATGAGAAGAGGATAGTTTTTTTCATTTCCATTAAACGAGTCCGGCGCAATAACAACAGATTTATTGCTTTTTACTGCTGCCCTTTCCTGTGTGCCGCCAACCCAGATTAATTTATTGCACCACTCCGGAGGTGTTTTTTTTTGTTCCTCGTTCGCAACTTTTCTCTCTTTATTTCAAATGCACTTGGGTGTAAGTTTGTGCTGAGCTGTTTCCTGATTCTCTTTTTTCGATTGCTCGCTCGCTGCGCGCATCCAAGCAGTGCAACGTTCTATTATTTTATTATACGCTCCTTTTTATTTATTTTTCAGGCGGCGCGCACTTGATATTCTTCCTTTTCAAGTTTCTCGCACGCAGGAAAACTGATGAATTTTCATATTTTTTCTTGTGGGAAAACAACAACAACATGCAGTCGTTTTTTTAACTAAGACGCAGTTGTCTGTCTTTTGCTTGGAGAGGTGGATGCGCCAGAAGGTTGGCCTTTGACCCCTGGCGCACATTTCACCGCAGACTGTCGCACACCAGCAGCATACAGATGGGGACGAAGCTAAAATGCACTTCCTGTCGCACACGCATCAATCAATTAATTAAACTCAACAACGGCTACTTTTCGTTAACAATTGGCAGTTTATCGTGAGAAAATTTCACTTGACCGTAATTATAAAAATTTATATAAAAGAAAAATTATTGCGGTATCCATTCAGTTTGTATTTGCAAATATTTTAATTATCATACCACAGAACATATCACTGGCCATAATAGTGTTCATAAATTAAAATTTAGTTATAAAAAATTAGGCCAAAAAACTTCAGCAATCTGAAAAATTGCCTCATTACTCATTACGACTCATTATATTTAAAAAATAAACTTTTGTATTCATAACATTTCATGTTTAACTTCTTTTAATAATTCAGAACTGGTTTCTAATGTCCTGATTGAATGGAATCAATTATTTGATGGTGAAAAATAAAAAAATTTAATTAAAGATAAGATCGTCCTCATCATAAACTTTATGTTGCAACCTACATTTTCAAGACTATATAATTGTTGTGCTTGTCGTATTAATCTATGCAATTTCCTAGACAAAAGCGTGTTGTGCAGGTTGCATTCTCAAAACTTCAATGGATCTGCTGCAACTAAACTTAGCAAGATCGGCTCCATATTATTTTTTGTTAACAAGGGAAGTGCGACAAAGTGAATGGCACAGAACTAAAAAAAAATCCACAAATTTATTTTGCGTGTTGGATAGGCTTACTTGTTAGCTTGACTCTTAAAAAATTAATTTTAATCATTTCTTGAAACCACACCAATTGTAAATAATTCAAGTATAAGGAAGTGCTGAGGCACTACTTTTGTTGGTGTGAAAATAAAATGTTCTCCAATAAAAGCGAGCACCACTGATCGCGGTTCCCAAGGCTGCATGCGTGCGTCTTTCTTTATGGGTTTGTGTGTGAGAAAGTCGCGGCGATGTTTGTGGAGATGTTTTGTTTTGCTCGGTGCGCGCGAGACGGATTTTCATACCTATACATCTTATTCCGAGCTTCAACCCACGGGAATATTTTCCATAATAAAAACGCATGCAATACTTGTTCGTCGGCTTTTTTCATTACAAATATATACGTACGCGAGTGTTGAGATCGAGATATTTCCTCTCTCCGACAGCGAATACATAAACGCACAAAAAAGACGAGCCGACGTCACACGGGACGCCGCCGATAAGCAAAGCGCTTTCGTGTTTGCTGTAGATAAATTGTGATGATGGGCGTCAAAGAAAAATAATGCCCATTATTTTTTTTTATACACCAGAACGTTATTTTTTTTTTATCACGTGTGCCGATCTGCGCACTACATGGCCAATGGAGAAATAAGAAAAAAATATTATAGATGAAGGCGTTGTTTACTGTTGATGACCGACTATCTACTGAAAGAAATAAAATACTACAAATGCCTCTAAGTTGACTAGAAATATACTCTCATTTTTGTTCAATTTCAATCAAATTTTTGATTGCAGTTTTTTATATTAATTCAAATTATTTATTTAAAAATAAAATTGAATTCAGCATATAATGACTATTGTATCTTTATTTTAAAAATTGATACATCACATTTTTTACTTTCAATAAAGGTACGGATAAGCCACGGATCAGGCAGGGATTGGGAAGGGATCAAGTAGGGATCAGCAAGGGATATCCCACCCAGGGACCCTGAAAGATGGTTTAAATGTGTATTTTTCTTTGGAGGATTAGAAGAAATTTAAGATTTAGGATTATGAATTCATGCAAATTAATCTGGAAAATATATAATTAAATAAAAATTACAGCTACAAAAAATTGATGAACGATTTTTTCTTAGTTTTTTATGAGCATGCATTTTTTTCATGTTGCTGATAAAGAAATAATTTAGCTATTAAAAGTTTTAATTTTTGAATAAAAGATAAAAATTTACTATCCAGTTTTACAGGTCACTTTTATGCAGGCATATCATTCGCCATTTAATTTTTTAATTTCTCAAACTCAAGTGGATAACTCAAAATCTGATTCATCGAGCAACAAGTTAAGCAACGAGGTGACATCGTCGCCATCGGCCGAGTATAATTTATAAATAATTGAGCAAGAAAAGTAGACCAATTACTACACACGTGTGTAGCGATTTATTAAAAAACAGCGCAACTTGTTTTCGCGTGGGCGCCTCTTTTCACTCTGCCTGCTCTCCTGTGAGTGTGTTACAAAAACGACATTCGCATTTAAATAAAACGTATCAGCCATCGCAGTAAATTACGTGCCGCGAATACACACAACACAACCGCGTGCACTGCACACTTCAATAAAAATAAACTGGCATAAATATAAAAGGAAGCCGCGCTCGGTTTTTTCCAGCCGGGCATAAATTTTATGCCGAGGGTGTCGATTGGCACAGATAGTGTATAATTTCTGCCGCAAACATATTATTTTTATACACTTGCACGATGCAGTTTTGTGAAAATGTTCTCGCTTTTCGAATAAAAATTCGATGCGTCGTTTAATTTTCTCGCGCGGCTGGAGCGCAAAATTAAAATGAGGCGAGCGTGCGACAAAGTTATAATTGAATCTGCGGAAACCCCATTTCGCAGCTCTCTTGTCGCCGCCGGCTTGAAATTAACACCGCAGAGGAGATTGGAATTGCAGCGAACTCTCCGGCAGCTCGTGTTTCATAAATTTTGGGATTTTGACACCAAAAATAATCATCCGCGTTACATAGAGAGCAGGATTTGAAATCACGAATAAAAATGACGAGCTCATTAATAAGAAAAGAGCCGCTGGCGTTTTTGTTGCATGAATGATTCATAAGTTCTACGTACTTCAAAAATAGTCTGCGAAAAAGGTTCTTTCATGCGTTCCGCGTGCAGAATGACAAAGTGCCAAGGAGAATTGAAGGAAATTAAAGTTTTCAACTAAACTGATCGTTGAAGAAGGAAGACTGACAATGTACATCAAATTAAAATTGAATTTTCTTATTTATTTGGCGTATAAGAGTCTGAAAGGCTTTAATACAAAGAACAACTGTGCTCTCTGCCGCTTGCTGCGCATCAATAATTTATCTTAATCAGTTAAATAATAACACTGCTCTGCTTGTCACTATCAATAAAGAAAAAAATGAAAGTTAATTTTGTTTTTATAAAAGAAATCTCATGAATTTGTCAACGACGCAATAATGCATTTCGGTTTTTCCCCTGCTCCCACTGTGAAAATCCTATAAATAGATTATTTAATGCAAAAATCTGCTTTTCTTTTAGAATTACCAATCTCTTAAACACATTTATTTTAAAATCTGTTCTATCAATTTTTCAAGAATGCTCCGATTATTACCATGATTCAGGATTTTTTTTATACATCTTCATATTGACTAAGAAGAATAAATATTATTTTATATAATTATAGAAATATTTTTGTTTGCCAATTTTAAATAAATGAATCAAGAGGAATTTTGTTGATAACCCTTTTATTATTGGTTGATTTCACGTTTATAAACAGTACAATTATACAGCACATTTACATATTATTAGCAACTATTCATCCTAAATACTTTAATATGAATAATGTAAGACTTTGTTTGCAAGGTAATACACGTGTCCGAATAAGACGATCATTTAGTAATATGATACCTCTCACTACTCGCTTCTTCTTTTATTACTATTTTTTTTTTAACATGTACCACAATATTTGTGCTTCTCATACATGACTAAAACAAAATGACTTCAGTTCTCTGCACTTGAATGATTAATCCATAATGTGAGCAGCTGCTTGGTGCTTTTCTTTGAAAGTATGGTAATCATATTGATATAATTATATTAAGTGAAATTACGAAAAGTGTTTCTGAAGAAGTGCATGCTATATATTTTTATATAGTTAAATTCGCTGGAACGTTCAGTCTGCTGTGGAGAGGGTCCTCGGCGGGGCCTCTTTGGGCTTGCGGGTCACTCGGCGGCCCAGGTGGAGAGCGACAGGGCCAACTTTGATGTCTTTGAAGACAGCAATTGCCTCGTTGTGGCTCAAACCATGAAGGGGACGTCCGTTCACGGCCAGAATCTCATCACCTGGAACAAGGAGGAAGAAGGATTTCCTGTTTAATTTTTTGTATTGTAAAGATTCAGTTTTGAATATTATATTTTTTTGGATTTTTTATGAAAAAATAAACTAAAATGGGCTTTTTTAAAATAAATATTTAATCTATAAAGTGAAAGTAAAATTCTGATGATCAAATTTTAACAGGTGCATAGCAAGTTTGTAAATAATATTAAAGCACCGCGCGTCTGTCTGGCATATCTTTCTTTGTCTATTAGTCGCGTGTGGAAATATATATCGAACCTGCCCTCCCGCCCCCGGCCACCCAAGTCGATTTGCGGGTGGTCCGCCTGACGACTGCTTAATTGAAACACCCCTCAGCAAGGAAGAAATCCTCAATCTGCAGTCTATTATAAAAAAGCTTCTTTTGAGCTCTCAGAGCCCGCACTGATTGCCTGATAATTATTATACGCTCTAGCACGCGGTCTATATACACTTGTCGAATTTGTTGGCCTAGGCACAGATTTTGACTTTTTTGTTCCACACCGCCACCACCAAATTCTCTCTCCTTGGGATTGTTTTTATTTCACGGTGTCTGTGGGGAATGGCTTGTGTCAAGTGGTAAAAAGACACATGTCTTGTCATTCTAGGAATTACGTCTCTCGTTTTCACTTACTTGGAAATGGGATAAGGGAGGTTTTGTTTCGACTGAGATGCGGTGCATGTGTTGTGGTTTTTGTCCAGGGAGTTTTTGTTCGGAGGGGAATTATTTGGAACTCTTTACAAAGAACTTGCTTGTCCTGATTAAATTCCACTCAAACTGCTGTTTAATTTATTTATAGATAATATGGGTATCTAAAATTCAGTTTACAAGCTTAATTGGAATTTGACAAATTCCTGAATTCATTTGATCATTATATTGCCTTTTGAATAAATTTATTAATTTTAATTGAAGTACAGATTTGCTGAGAGTGCAACATTTATATCACTGGCATATAATAGATATTTTATTTTTTAAAGTTATGCACTTTTATATAAATTAAAAGTCCGATCTCAAAAATTATTTTCTCTGTTATATGTAGTTTTAATATTTTCTATTAAGAAATGCTCGTTTACAAAAAATGTTCCTAAAATTAAATTGAAATTATTCAATAGAATTTTTTAACTGTATATACATATCATATTTGGATTGATTGTAATTATTTATTTTTAACATTAGAATTGCATTTTATTTATTTTCTTTTTAAGTAAAATAAATTTGATTTGAACCGTCTATTTTCTTTACCCAGCACAAACATAAGTAAAGTTAATTGGTTCAGCTCGTACAGGCTCATGGTCTAAAAAACTGGGCTACACTCACAGACCAGTCATTGAGCGCTCGATCTAATTGATCCGTAATTGGGCGCCTGGTGCAATTAAATCCGTGTGATACATAATGTTTATATCTCAAATATAATTGCAATACTGTTATATAAGGATCATTACAGCCGTCGATGCTCCACATATTTTTCTCTTGTTTTGTTGATGCTATTATAGGTGCTGCCGCGGCGTGTGAAAGAATTTGGAAATAAAGATTCAGCTAATTGCCAGCGAGTAAAGTGCCGCGAATTGGACGTAAAACGCAGCAGTGCCGATCATTATCCGACGCGGTCGGCCGGAAACAATATAAAAAGCAGCACTTATCGAGCTATAACAGCCCGCATATTATTTTCCAAGTGCAAACTCTCATTATTCTTCTCTGGCATGATGAGAGCAGTGCGCCATAATGGGGGCTCAGCTGGAACAGCTCGGCATACACAAGGCCGAAAACTGTGTTTTGCACCTTTCCTCGGAAATAAAACGCAAACACGCGAATTTAGAAGGAGCCCACCTGCGAGACAGGTGTGCGGTGATTTTATTTAAGAGCAGTCGTGTTTTTTGACTCAAAAGTTCAAGAGCAACGGGAATTGCGAATTACAAAGACAGAGAAATCTCTCAACTCGTGCGCCATTAAATTATTATAGCAGCTGCCTTTTAATAAGACCTGTATTATGCTCCTTATTTTCTGTGTTTGTTCTCACCAGGTTATTTGCCACTGAACTTTCGTAACACTCTAGTATATCAGAACAAGTATTCTCTTCAAAAAAATTTATAAACGCATTGTTTTGACAAGCTGAATATACATTTAATTCCGGGAGCTGAAGAATTGATGCTGTTTTTCCTATTGTACCGCAAAATCTTGATAAAAATACCCGCTTTAATTGGTTCTATGTTTTTATTTTTGCTCTGGGAATTTTTCATTTAAATCAGCGAGATTTTGCAAAAGAGGTAATAAAAAAAAACGAGGCCAATTAACACACGAGATAAACATCAGCACCAATTCGCCGAAATTAAATATGCAATAAAGCCAGCCACGAACTTAATGAAAAACCACAACGTAAATCATGACGCAGGTGCTGTTTTTTGTTTATTACGTTTATTTCCTCTTATAAACATGAAAGGCTGTGGCATTTGTAAAAAAAAATATGGCAAGTGTATATAACGTAATAACTTGAGAGACCCTATAAAAGTTGGGCCAAGGTGCTGTGGGCGCGCGCCAAACGATGACACAATCCAATGAGCATATTAGAAAGAAAAACAGAAATTTTCTCCTATCCATGAAACAAGAAACGACCGGCACTACTGGTTCTTCGCGCTCCAAAACCGGTAAAGAGTCCGGCGGTCGGCATTGATTAGGTAATATAAAAGGTGGCACTTTTAAGAATGATATAATATCTGGAATGATCCAGAAGAGATTATAAAGATTGTGCCAGAGAAAAGAAAGAAATCGAAACATTAGATTTTACAAAAAAAATATTTGGGTCAAGAATAAAAATCTATAGCAACATTGCAGAGCCAAATAATGATATTCCAGACGGGAGATTTACATTTTTTAATTGAATTCATCATTTTAAAAATTTATGCCCTGCGATTTAATTAAAAAACCTGGCTTTACAATTTGTTAAGCTTATTTGTACAGAAAAATATTATTTTCTATGCCAACTTATTATTATTTTCTCTATATTTTCAGATGAAATATTATGCTACTGACCTTCTTTGAGTAGACCAGAGTCGGCAGCCTGGCCCTGCGGAAAGACGGTCTTGATGTAGATGCCCATTTGGCCCCTGGGCGAGTCCCTACCTCCGACTATGCTGAAGCCAAGTCCCTTCTGGCCAGGGCCTTTGTTGAATTCAACGCTGAAGATGTTGAAGGCCTTACATGACCTTGGCAGCGTGCAGAATTTGGAGGAAGTTTCCTCTTCCACCGCCTCCGGCACCAGTGGAGGTGGCACGATCGTGCTTAACCTGTGGTGCCGTAAATTCGCATTCTGGAATGCAAAAGTAATTTAGAATAATTAATTAAATAAAAAAGTAAGGAGAAATTGTTTGATGTAAATTATTCCTTAAGTTAATTTAATCATGTTAGTTGAAACCAATTTGCAAAAGAAAGGAATTTTAAAATTTTAATTTTTTTATGAGACAATAGGCTTAGTGTTTCTGATTTGATGCCTAAACCGTTTTCAATTTCAAGTGGGACCAGGAAGATGCAAACGTGATTTGCAATTTTGTGCGCCCCCTAACGCCTATTCAATTTCAATTGAATTCGAGGCCTTGAAGAAATTAGTCGCAGAAAACCTGAGAACCGCGCGTCCGTCAGTGGGGTGATTGAGTTGCGATCGCTTTCGGCATTTAAATTAAGCACAAGGGACGCTCTTCATCCGCGTGTGTGTGAGTGATGAACCCGTCCGTCCGTCCATTCGAATGTCTGTCTGCGTGTTTTTTACTTTCCCACACACTGAAGACAGGAAGACAGTGTTCTTTAAAGAAGAAACACGTGCACTACAGCTATAGAGCTAGCGGAGAGATATATCGAGTTTCGTTTTCTCCGCTCAACATTTATATAATACTCAGCAACCCTCTTTGAATTCTTTTCACAGAATTTAATGACACGACAGCAGGAAAAAAACGCGCGCAGGTATAGTGAAGCAATTTGTGTTGCGACGAAGAAAAATCTGCGTTTAATTGTTCGCTCGCTCCTTGACACCCTCTTTCTGACATGCTTGTTTTTTTTGTCCCCATTTTCCCCTAAACAAAACAATCTGCTCTAGAAGATCTGAATAGGCAACTGACCTTTGGTCGAGAGTTTTCTTTGTTCGTCCTACGCAGGTCGGCGCCACCGACGCTGGTGGTGCGGGTCATCGGCCGACGGGGCTCCTCGGGCAGCGTTTCCGAGTGGATGAAGGAAAAACGACGCACCCTGGCAGGCGGCAGAGGGGGTAGTTGAGGGGGCAACGGAGGGGCCATGTGCTGTGGGGGCAGCATGTTGTGGTCGGTGAAGTACCCAAGATCAGAATCTGCAAAAATGCGGAAGAAATTTGCGTTGAATTCATTTTCCTTGACAAAAAGGGAAAATATTTCAGGCTTCATATATTTTTTTTGTAGGTTTCCTTATCTTGTCACCCGCGTTCTTATCCAAAACATATCTAAAATACCCTAGGCCCTTGGTGAATAATATGTCCAGCGTTTATTTCCATAATGAAGGGTCAGCAAAGGAATGGAGGAAAATAGAGAGGAAAAAAATCCACTAACGTTTATCATTTCAGCCAATTCCAAATGCCTTAAAGGGTTTGACAACGTTCAGAAGAACAAAACTGTAGTGGAGATGATCCTGATAGATCTTTACTAATGATAAAATTTTTTTAGTTTCAAATTATGTTTATTTTTAGAAAAAGGTAAGGTAGTCCCTCAAGTGGAAGCGATTTCTTTATAAAAATCTAGAAATTTGGAAGATCAAAAACTATATCAATATTAATAAGTTAAAAAATATAAGTATAATATCAAGCATTATAAAACAAAGACAACTCTAAAGAAATTTATCAGATGAAAGCAATTTTAAAATTTAATTAAAAAAAAAAGTGAAATCTTTTACCTCTGTCCGAAGGTCTCCTAGACCGGCCAGAAGAAACAGAGGAGCAACTGTCAGTTGATCTGCGGTCCTCAGACGGCCTTTCCAACGAGCTCCACCGCCGCCTTGCCGCCTCCGGAGGCGGTTCTGGCGGGGGTGGCACGTAAAAGGTGGGTTCGTGCACAGACATGCTTCGTTTCTTCCTCAGGCCGAGCAGTTTGGAGCGCAGGTTGGGCAGAATGGAGCCGCGGGACGAGCAGGAGGAGGACGTGGACAAAGAGTCCGAGTCGTGGTCTGGAGGGACGCGACGCGGCAACGGAATTCGCCTGGCCGTGTAGGGTATCGTCGAAATGGGCTCCGGGGGCGGCTCGGGCACTGGAGGTGCAGGGGACCGTGGTGCGTGGCCTGTTGAAAAGGATGAGCACCGCCTGCGCAGCTTCTTCCAACGCTGAGACAACGTTTTATTCCACGCTGAGAAATCTGCAAACAAAGGAAATTGACTTTAGTCAGTAAAGTTTTTTTTTTTAGAATAATGGATAAAATTAAGATTAAAAATAATCGTTTAAAAATTGAAAAAACAGTAAAGGATTTACTGCAAATTTTTTATTATTATTAAGAACAGCTTATTTTTAATAAAATAAAATAATTAAATTTATTAATCTACTAAAATATGCTTTAAACATTATGAAAGAATTTAACTGTAAATGAGCGTAGGAAGTAATTTGCAATACAGATATAATTTCTTCATTTAATTTAGAAGATTCGATCGCAGAAAAAATTTATGCTTTCAATTGATTATAAAATAATGAAAGTGAAAATTCTCAATAATTCCTCTCTGGACGCATGAATTTAATTAATTCACATCAGCACAATTTCTCCTTTCGACCAGAAAAATCTTATTTAATTATTTGCAATTGGAACAAAAGGTATTGTACCGCAAAATTTTGAAGGTTTATTTCCCACAATAAATAAGAGACGTTATAATAAAATAATTGGTGCAAATTAGACTTCATATGATATTTTTCCTTTCTTCCAACGCGATGATTCATCTCGCGCACGCCATCCGCAAAACACAATGGTCTCATTATGCGCGAATTTAAAAGAGTTACATAACACAAAACAGCTCGGCTTGGCAGACAAAGCCGCAAATTTCGTCCTACGGTAAATGTGTGCAATTATTATTCTTCTCCGAGAGGGCGTGATGCCTTCCCGGCGGTGTACTTATAAGAGAAAGATACGAGAGTCGCGTATACAAGTTTATTATTTCCAGCAACAACCTGCACAATAAATAGTAGTATACATTAATGTGAGTCAGTAGGCAGGCTGCAGCTCGAACTCACTCACGTGTATACGTGTGTGGGTAATTATGTTCGCGACCGCGGAAGGCCTTATTAGTCTTCGCTCGTCGTCGCTGTGTCTCTGGAATTAACTTAATTTAATCATAATATATACGACCTTATGATATTGCTTTGAAAAGAGAGCTTTCTTTTTTATTCCAATAACTTGCGGCCACTTCAATTGCGCGGTAAGCTCGGTATTAGGTTATCTCTATTATGGTGAATGATAAATTGGAAAAGGCCTGCATGAAAGCAAAAGTGGGTTGAAGGTTGATAACACGTGACAAACGTGAACAAAAATATGCATGTCGTGTGGTGAATCTGGCAATTTTCTACAATATTAATTTGTGTTTAAATTTTATATCCCTGAATTAAAAAAAAAGTTCATTGCGATATTTATTTTCGTTCTCGAAATTTTCAATTTTTCAGTTTCATAGAAAACCGTTACGCAATAATTCATTCTCTTAAATCGGAGCTCTTAAATGAAATAAAACTTGTCAATACTAACATTAAGCCAAATTCACAAAATATCACTTAAAAATATCTCTATCTGGCTGAACTTTTTGTTGGAGAGGCACTTAAGGAGAGAAGAAACATGCGGTTTTTTTTGTTTTTTTTGAGAACTTCCTGATATATTTTTCTTCGTACTAATGAATCTAGGAGGTCAAAGACCAACACTGGCAGATTCTTCCTTATGATTTAGCAAAAATTTTGAATAGTGTTCTTTTATTTATATACAATCTCTACTGAAGTGATAAAAATGAAGTAAATAATATTGTAAAAATATGTCCAATGTTTTCAAGATGTAAAGTAATGATATTGGTATCGTAGGGATAGGGATCGAAGAAAATGTATTTTAATTTCAACATCTTGTAAATGGATTATCAAAATAAATAGCGGATATAGAATCAAATAGACAACTAAATGTGTTGAAATAAATTTTTGCTGATATATATTTTTTATAAATAAAATGAAGAAAAGAATGATTGTTTTTAACAGAAGCATCAGGAAGAGAACTTTCATTTTAAGAAACACAGTGGAGCGTAAACGAAACAAAAGCTATATAATTCTCAGTCAGAGCAAGTAAAACACCCTGCCGGGTTCAGCGCACTTTCTTTCCATTATTCCTAGAGATCTGTTCCTGATCTCCAACAGCTCTCTTGTGTGTTTGGTTCTTCCTTGCAACTATAGAAAGGCTTGCGTGTTTATTTGTTCTTTTAAATATTCCAACGGAGCAGTGTAAGTTCCTAATGCACGTGGGGCTGCTGCACAATGCGTTGAGTGCATCCAGCCAGCGTCTTTTTCTTTTCGGCTCCCCCTGCTGCTTTAGCACACGCTTTATTTTCTTTATCGCTGCTGCTTTTGTGTGTGCAGCAACGCAGAGACGTAGCTGTAAAACGCCCGCGATAATTGTGTGAATGCGAGTTGTAAAGTAAGACTGACAAGCAAGGGGAGCCCCGGCCATGCTTCTGGAATTCATTACTGAAAATGAGCAGCCCTCGCCGCCGTGCAGCTCCTTTTTAATGATAATCACCACACCAGAACGGGCAGAAGTTACACTCAAATGACCATGAATATTATATTCATGCGTCGAAAAATAAATTCCTCAGATGGTTAAAAAATAAACTACGGAGAGAATTTCGCGCTCCGTGCGCCGGCAGCGAAAGTGTAACTTTTATTTACGCTCTTGAAATCAAATCAACGGAGCGCCGAAATTAAATTTAAGGACGAGTGGTGGGTAAACACTTACGAAAGTAAAACGCATCGCAAACATTCGCTTTTGAAAGGCCGGTAGTTTCGGCCGGCAAACATGCAGAGCAGAAATGAACGCTGCAGATAAAGAGCGTCGAGAAAGCCAGCGATAAATTTTTGGAGTTTTGGCCTTGGAGGAGTTTTTCACAGTAGTAAAAATTGGAAATGAAGTACCTTGAAAATATAAATTTTTTCGCACATCCATTTATATGCATTGGTTTATCCATAAGAAGTTTCATGGAAGGGAATTTTTTAAGGAGTTATTACTTCTTAATTCAAAAGGTTTGCGCATTCACTAAAAGACTTAATAATCATTTTTAGGGTACATTTACTTTATAAAATGAAATATGAGAGCGAAACTATATTAATTAAATAAAATCAATATTATTATTATTATCTTTAATCATTAAATTAATTATAATTGTTAATAAAGAAGCTATTTTGATAAATTACATCATTTTTTTAAATTTTATTTGAACATTGCAGCTTTGGCAGCTTTTCCTATGGCCATTCCTCGTGTATAATCAATAATTATTGAAGTTCCTATCTTCATCTTCATAATTGATTGCTATACAGCAATAAAATAAAATTTTAAAAGAAAAGTATACAAATTTTTCTCCCCGAGATGTGTATGTTTCGTTTAAATTAAATTTTAATAGAAAATGCTTAAAATTACTTTAATTAAAAACAAAAATTTAAATGAATCTTAAAATATTAAAAAAGTTAAAAAATAATTCCTTAAAATAATCGTTAAAAGTTAAAAAAGTTTAAATGTTGAGCCTATTATTAAACTTTTATTTGACCCACTGCCCACGGCCAGAGAAATCACTAATAGCGCTGGATCCGCACGCGCCAAATAGAGGTCCCATCATTTGATTTGATCACGCCGGAGACAAAAATATAAGGATGAAAGATTTCTCTTTCAAAAGGACGATTCGAATGAGAGGCGATCGCGGTAATCATCGCCAAAACAGAGAGCCTCCATTCAAAAAATGTGTGCCGAATCACGACTCAAACATAAAACCTTTGTAAATGTGTATAATCGAAGAAAGGAATTGTCAGTTGGAAATGAAAAATTACCTTTTTAGGAGAGTGGAGAGAAACAATAATATGAAATAAAGCTAATTATGATTACTCATCGCCTGCAAACAAAATTTTGAATTAACTTTTGGAGTGAGAGAGAGCGCGAGTTGATGTGACTTTGAATCAAAATCGCATTTGTCAAGAGAGAGAGAGGTAATTGCAAAAATTGACACAAACTTGAGGATGATTAATAATTTTAGAAAATCATGCTTGTCATCAAATTTGTTATAAACTCTCGACGGTGCCATTATTTTATTCATACAAAGTTGCCTCACACGCATTTCTCCACTTGAACACGCCCGGTTTTCAAGAGCTAAACGCGCGTTTAGAGATAACGCGCGAGATTTCGCCGAACTTCCAATTTTATCCGGGCGTCGATAATATGTCATCGGTGGGGCTGTGCAAACAGCCCTAGCAGATATTAATAAAACACACATTGAAAAGATACCGAACGTGCACTGCGTTTTCATATCTGATGGTTGTCAAGGCAACCTTTCGCTCTTCTATGTGCAATGAATGAAAATACTATATGAAAAGTTCTCGAAAACCGTCATTCAAATATATGCTTGTGGCTTTGCGTCCCGTGCACGTTGATATTTTTTTTTTATGAAATAAATGTAATGACAGGAAGAGGTTGACTTTTGGTGCACTTGAAGGCGAAATGTTATTCACGTTCTAAGAATAAAACAAAATTTCATGTGTAAGATGCATGACTTTGTGAGGTTAGATGACTCGCGCGTCACATGCATACCCGACAAGGATCGCGAAACGGGATTTCCTGCAGGACGTGAGAAGGACGCTCAAGGAATTTCATATCTTAAATTATACACGTCAAACTTGTGGTGCCGTCAGAAGTTCATAAAATTCTAAAAATTGAAAAGAAATTCAGTGGAAATTAATGATTTAGAAAAAAATTTAAAATCTTAAGATAATATAATGTAATAATTTTAAAATAATTATGCTCTTTTTTATTTAAAATAAAGAGCGCCTCATTTAATACCGCTTGATTTCAACATATCATGTTTTTTAAGAATCAAAATAATTTAAAATTATATGAAAGTATATAATTCTCGTTATTAAAGAAAAATAAAAAATACAATAACAATCAAATAACTTGAAACTTGATTTATATTCAATTTCATTCTACGCATTTTATTTTTCTCGTAACGAGTCAAAACAATGAATTATGAAAACATTGGTTTGGGGAAAATAGGCCAATTTACAACGCACTGGAAATCATTTGCCAAGAAGCGGTAATACCCGGCTATACTCATCGCTCTGAAGCCTAAACTACAGGAAAATAATTTT